GTAGGAGGAGAAGCATTTTGTAATAATAAAGGAAGAGAGAAGTAGCAGTTGGGACTTAAAACTTTACAAAAACCGAAACACAGAATTATGTATCTTAGTTTAGTCTACTTGTGTGCCAAGTTATATTGAATTCAGACCAAAACTGTAGGAGTAGCATTTTGAAAAATTGTTTAGACAGACAGACAGATGGACGGACCGACGGATGCATTACTATCGCATAATCTCTTCTGGTCTCTGACCAGTAGAGCTAAAAATCAACTAAGTAAATGGCTCCTATAAACCCATTTTCCTCTAAATATGCTGTAACAGTAAATTACCAACCAATCTTATTCAATATAATGAACCAAATATCTTACAGATTTCATTACTGACAGCATTATTTTTGAGAAATAAAACTTTTCCATGAACTTTGAAAATTGAGAAATAAATTATCTCAGAGCTGGTGATTGTCCTGGTATTATATGCCCTCATTCCATGACTCAAGTCTACATTCTCAGTTTATGGCCTTGGAGTCAGATATTCTTCCCCTGTATCAGTCATAAATATGATTTTTCTTTCAGTCCATCCTCTTGTTTCTTTTTGAGCAAAAGCTACCAGAAGCTCAATACCTCTGTTAAAATGTATATCTAAAAGCATGCACATATATCCTTTTCATGGATTATTTCATCACTGTGCATCAGATATGAATCTACTCTGAGGCAACATTGCTAACACTGACATTACAAGAAGAGAGATTCCATTTAATCTTCCAAAATTTCAAAACACATTTGAATGTCATTTTCTCTGCAAGAGTATTTCATTTTTATCTTTTCTGTTCTTTCTTTCACATATCTAACAGTTCAATAATGACAAAACACACTGCCAACTAATTTCTCAAAGAAATTTGATTTCTGATCATTCTTATGCTTTAAAATCAGTCACAGTAACAATATTTTTTTCTTGAAACACAACAAAAAATAATTTCAATAAAAGCATACAATGTGCCTTGCACATGGCAAAATAATATACATTATACATATTTATATATATTATATATCACATACAAGAATAACTTTCTCACAAGGACTCAAACCAAAACAAATAGAATTGCTGAAATTCTTCAGTTATCTATGCTGCTGAGATCTTTATCTGAACAGAATACTAACATAAGCTATATATGAATACTGTCTTTATTCTAGTAGGGGCTTTAGACAGAGAAATTTCACACAAGGGCTAAGCACCTCATAGCCATCCAGTATGCAAGCCCACAGGTCTGTTTTCTGGGAAATAAGCAGCAAGAAGGGCCAGATGTGGATGAAAAAAGTGTTGGGTCTGGACATACAGAATAATTGACTGGTATTTAGGATTTCTATCTCCCACGAAATAAATGGTGACCATTTAAATGGTATTATTTCATGCGAGTTGGTGTTTTAAAAAAGTGTAAACAAATGTTTCTCATTCAAATTACAATTGCAACATATGAAATGGGTTCTTTCTCATTAAAAATACCTAATATTTACTGAGGACTATTTTGAATCTACAGCTTTGGATACAATGACTAGAGTATCAATTTACCAGTGATATTTCACAATTTCAGAGACCAAACTTGACCGACGTAAAAAAGCTTCCTAAATTTCAAGGAAAATAATTTGTTTCACATAACAAGGAAATCTGTAATTCATAAATAAGGACTACTTTTCTGCCTCAATTCCGCTTTCCCATTTTTCGTTATTTAGAGGTGTTATCCTAAGAGTAAATATCTCTCTAAAATTTTCTGATTTATTTTCCCCCAGATGTATAACCAAAGAGAGCTGCTTTGATGAACAAAGTTCAAATTTCTTGTAAAATCTAAAGCCTGATAGAAATATTCTACAAACAAAAGTTAAGTGCATAATTTCAAATATTTCAATCTGAAAATGTGTGCGTCTCTCTCGTTTTAATTGTAACAATTTTCTATGTAGAATATTTTGTTGAAGGATACGTTGAATAAGAGAATAAACTGTCTCTGGCTTTCAGTTGAGATGTACTTCAAGAATTCAGTCTTATTTTTCAGAATGCAACATGCATGAAGAATTTCAACATCTTATTTGATGATAAAGTAACAACACAGACACATACGTGAAATGCCATTTGATGGCTAAAGTAAGCAACAACAACATAAAAACCTTCATCCCAGCTTAACTCAGGCTCGCTACTGTTTTCAGAGGGCTATGCCCAAGGACATTGAAAATGGGAGATATTAGGTGTTAATGCACACCCGAGCGACTGATTTAAGCTCAGTCTTGACATTCTTAACTATATCCCTATGATTTATAATACAGTAACACCTAAATATACACAAGTCTTCAAGTCAAACATAGAATGTACAGATAGATTTCAGAAAGTTAACAAAGTATCAGAACTGGCCTAAAAATAAGTGGCATTTTGAGATTCACAAAATTACGAAGAATTAAGAATAGAATGCTCCTGTATAAATTCCTAGATGCCACAAAATATTCTAATGCTTTTTGAAAAAACAGTGTTACAACATGGTATGCCTAACCTTTGAATGAGTGTACATAGACATTGTTCAGTAAAGTAGAATTATACATTTTCTTTCCAATCAAGGAAACACAGCATTTTGATGGGGAGAACATATGAAATAATGAACACTGCATTGATCAAGGGGAGTTGACAGCAATTCTTAGGCAACATAGAACACAGATGCACTCTGCAAGCACCCTGAATTAGAGTGAATAATTAGACAAAAGTTGTTGGATAGTTAAATATTTTTCTGACACTTTAGAATCAAACAAAATATGTATGAGATGTCTCAATTTTAAAACTTAAAACATTAAAGTTACACTTAAAAACAAAGAAATTCACTGGCCACACAGCTCACTAAGTTCCCAGCTCTTAATAAAACATATATCCCTATGCCTCAAAAGAATTCAAGAAAAATATTTTTTCCCTCCAGTAGCACAATCTAAATATAAGAAAAATTAGAGGTACAACTTTAATCAAATTTGAAACAAAACTGATACTTCCAAATCCAAACAAACTGATTTTGTGACTTTTCTTGGGAATACATTTTAATTATTTTTTAAAGAAATTTTATCTCTAAGTAGAGTTCAAAGAAACCCTATCATGGTCCCTCTTACAATTCACAATTTTTTTTACTAGAATATGCTAGCTCAATCTTTACACCTTTTTGATCATTTTAGGCCTTGTGGTTTGAAGATTAAGATTTGAAGAGGCCATAGCAAATACAGCCCATTTCCTAGTTAATTCCCTTTATCTATAGAATATACACTGACAGAAAAATTTTTGATCAGAAAAAAATTCACTTGAAACATGGCCTCAGGCAAATTAAATATTGTTTAAATAATTGATAAAATAAGAAATATCACAAAAAAACTTCAAATAATGCCATTTCATTGTGCAACATGGAACGCTAAACAGTAAACAATTGCAACAAAACCTCACAAACCAATGATGTCATAGTGTAACAATGACAACCAAATTTGTGTCCAAAATATTCACTTCTTGAAATCCTATACAAATTCTTGACAATATCAATACAACCACACAGATAGCCTTATATAATTGCCATTTTTCTCTCTTGTTGTTAAAATGTGCACTTTAATGTTGTATGACCATGGAATAATTTACTACAACCTTTTAAAAGGTCAATCCATTCAGGTAACTGTACATTTAAAGTAAGACAGCATAGAATTAATTATATACACTGAAACAATTGAAAAAAAATTTTTCTCACATACTTTTTACACAAAAGAAAATTCACTAACAAATATTCTATCAAATGTTTGGAAAAAATAAAGGCAAATGTAAAAGCTGTGACTATGACCAGAATAACTAAATTCATGTTTAGCAATTAATCTAGAAATGCCCATATCTTCAGAAAAAAGTATACATGTATACTGTTTATGGGAAAATATGAAAAAAAAAAAATTGTCTGTCATCTTTCTAACACCAAAATTCAAAGTTAGTAACAATAATGAAATGTGTATCAAACACAAGAATGCATGTCTAAGTGTTGCACAATGTAGGTCTTAATATTTATTATTTACAATGTATAAAATGAATTTATTATTCTGGCCTTTTCAGCTTTTTAACCTGCACATGAAAATAAAGATTTTAATCAATGACTTTCAAAAGAAGACATTTTGATATCTAAAATTTTAGCTTAAAAATCTCAAAGTTACCATAAATTAAACATTACACAGTTAAAACAGAAGTTTTTCTACTAAGATATCATATAACGAAATGTAAAATAAAAATGCAGACTGTCTGTCTTTCAATTTAAAAAAAAAAACAACTAAATATGCATAAAATGTTGATATCTATTACCAAGATCCATTGATGCACAGTTTCAAATCAACTGTTGATATTTCTATGAACTAACTGGGAAATCAGTGGAGATCATTTCAGGCAAAGTTCATTTCATTCACAGCCTTGTTCTCTGTCTCTATAGGTTCAGAATCAGTAAAGACCAACCTCCATTACGTTGCTGCTAGTTTTCACAGGTCTTTGTAATGTAAACACAGAAAGCAACAAGTACGAAATAGGGTCATAAGGACGACTGGGAGAAATAAGCCTCTAAAGGGAAACAATGGCCAACACAAGGAACTAAACAAGCTTTCACTCGTATCACTGTTTCATATCACAACTATTTCACTACACTGAATGCTGTTCAAGAGAAGGACTTGGGCTTCGATTCAGTGCTTCATACGATGAATCTTTTTTGTCTTCTTTTAAAGAGAGCAAAAAAAAAGCAGGGTAGGCTTTTTCACTAGTTTTGACAGAATTAACCTGCCTGCCAGCCATTTAGAGTGTCTGCGTGCACAGTAACGTCTCTCGAGTTATCAAACTTTGTCGTCAGAAGTATTGTATAATGTATGATACTTAGGGGGTTCAAAATTGGACGTATGCAACTCTTGGTGAATGGGTGAACTCCCTCGCCCATTACTGGCATTAGTCCTTGTTACAGAAGGGTCATGATAATGATTGCTGTTTGACATACTGTACGAGCGAGACAACATGTCGCTGGAGGTCACTCGACCGTCAGGACTTCCTCCGACTTTTAGCGGCGAGTGACCCACTTTATCTATGGCAGAGGCTGAATGAGAGTAATAAGGGGGAGGGCTCTCTTTATCATGCACAGTCTTGTTGGGTGGGGGTCTAAAGCAATGTTGGTAGCCATCCGATTTACGCAGATGTTTTAACGTCTGCTGACTCTGTCTGTAACCTTCCTCTCCGTCCTGGGAGATGGGGATTTGTGGTGGTAAGCTTATAGTCATGTCAGTTTGCATTGAATGTTTCAGAATTCTCCGCTTCTGAAGGAGGGCCTCTTGTGGATCTGAGATTTCTTGACTGGCCGATACACAAGATGTGGACGTTGCTGCTCCTCCAAATCCAGACTACAAGATTCAGAAAAACAACAATTTAATCAAATTTACTCACAAACTACACCTGTATTTCAAATAAATGTTTTTGTACAATGCTTGTACTGTTTTCATTTTCTTTAACAGAAAAAAAACATTACAGTCAAAGTTAATTAAAGCCCTACATGATCTCCTCGGAAATAAAAATTTGGCATTATCATTTTTTTTTTAAAATTAGCCTGGATTTTGAATACAAAATAAAACATCAATTGAAAAATTGTAAAATACGACATTAAAATTTCATCAAACCTAACATGCCCTAAATATTGATTAACAGTGATTTATTTTATCAAACCTCAGAGACATGGGATTGGGGCCTCAACTGTCGATTTTCCACATCCCCTCGGTCACGATTTGTCCACCGGCGCAACATGCGACGAGTCGATTTACATGGACTGGCTACACAAATCAAAATGGCCAATACCGGCATTAAAGTTATTGTCACAATGATGATCACAACTCGGGCTACTGTTGCTGGAAAGAGAGGAAGAAAATGTAAGTGAATATATTAAACAACGCATGAAAGTAACCTCTATAATTACCAAATAATTTTTTAAAAATTGCTCCTGCTTTAAAATTTTTTTTCATCTAAGTAGAACAACACTAAATCAGCCTCTGCTTTTTAATGTTACAAAGAGTACAACTGAAAATGAAACACACAAGAGTGTCTGAGGAAGAAAATCCAAGCTTTGTAGTTGTACAGCCTGCCTTGAAAACAACAGTCTCTTAAGCATCTATTCTCTTTGTCATATAAAAATCAAACCCATCAACACCACACATTTATCACTTGGCCAGACAGATTTCTTCATCGTAAGTGACTTTCTGGGTCTTTCACTATGTAATTAATGATATTTAGTCTAGACATTGTATTCCATCCTTGGTGTTTTTCACAATGCTAGAACCTAATTATAATCACCGTAAGACAGGGCTATATCCAAGCCTCTGAAATTCTTCCTAGGTAAAATCTCCTCCAAAAACATCAACAAGTATTTGAATTATTTACTGTTTTTTTTTTAACAGACAGTAATTAAAGAATGAAAACGTTCTACGCCAAATGAAGGCACTCTGGATTTAACTCTGCATTGAGAGAGTCTGATAATTCTCAGTGCATCCTAATCTTGCATGAATTCAGATCACTACGGCTGTTACATGATGAAGCTTCTGACATCTGTGTTTCTTTTTTATGACATGACCGCAGATTGAACCCATGACCTTGACCCTGAAGCCCAATGCAGACACGCTTCAACTGTCAAATTCAATTTTGCAATCCTGTGACACAAGATCGTCTAGCCTCAGATCAATACTTGGGCATTGACAGACGATTCCTCTTCAGTTTCTCCCTCAGCACTTGAGATGTTAGCAGCTTATTGGCCACTGCAACTAAACCAGGAACCTGCCTTTCAACACTCTGCAGAGCCATAATGCATGAAGATCTAATGGCTCAAACTTTTTTTTCTCCAATATTTAATCATGTGCTTATTACTCTGTTGTTGAACCCATATATCCTTTAGCTTCTTTATATCAAAATATTTAAAAAATCAAGCAGATTTGAGACCAAACCCTTGGTTATCCTCCTATTTTCTTTTTCCTGTGTCTTAGAGATAACGTTTCAAATACTGAACTCCCCCCTAAAAAAACAACACAAGTTGTTTATTCCCAAATACTAAAGAACATTCAACCTTAAAAAGTACCCTAGCTAGGTTCTCTCCTTAAAAATAAGCTACATGTAAATGACCACCAAGTATTACTTCACAAAGTACCTGATGATAACTGCTCTACCGTTATTTGCTGGCTAATAGTTAAGCCCTTCCTCATTTTCTTATTAATGTTGTCTAGACGGTTAATACAGAGTTCAGGAGGAAATGTGATGCAACACTCAGTAGGACCCATCTTGCTCAGCCTATCAGGTGAGGTTACTCAACAGGAACAACAATGACATTGTATGAAATACCACAAACAGACAAACTCTAACTGGATACTGTTAATAATTTTTTATTTATTGGAAAGCTAGGGGGTAGAGGTTTTTGTAAACAAGATAATTTTACATTATTGTTTGTTTTTTGTTTTTTTTTTTTATTGGAAAGGTAGGGCGAGAGATTTTCTTAAACAAAATGACCTAAATGTTTACTATGTGTGTGTGTGTGTTTTTTTTTTAATGAAATGAACATAAAAATACTTTAATAAGATATCCACTTGAGTATTATTAGTTTCTTACTAGGCTATTATCAATTTTAATCACATGGACCTTTGATAGCAAAGTTTTACATGTATTTATATATTTTGATCAGATAAGGATCCTACAAACATCATCATAATGACAAATTCAAACAGCTTGTCTGTAAGAAGTTCAGTGGCCCTTTTCACAAAGGATTGTATGAGATTGTATGACTAAGGCTACCCCCCACCCCCAGCCCTTTCTACATCAACATCTAAGCTGCAAAAATCTTATTTTTCTATTACCGGTACATTGTATATAAATATTTTATTGGTTATTTTTAATCCCCATCCTCAAAATAATCATTTTGTTCTTTAACTTTCGCTGCCAAAATGATTCTTTTATTATATACACAATTAAGTTCTGAAATTTAATATTATTGATATCATAGAGACAAATGAAATGAACATTTCTTAAAGAGGGAAAAAATAAAGAATGTTATTGTAAGCATTAAATTCAAATATTTTTTTTAAAGTTATGGTTCAAACAACAGCACCAATCCTCCTAACTAATGTCATATAGAAACATGCAGTATATAACTTGACAGCCTGACTAGGTGTTGTAACATGACAGACAACACCCAAAAATAATAATAATTTAGTGTTTAAAAGGACTTCTCTATGTGTATTACTTACTGGGAACTGTGCCTATGGAGGACTGGGGGCAGTTATGCTCATCTGATCTGTCCCGACAGTGGTATACTTGATCACAAATCAAGCTCTTGTTCTCCAAACAGTGAGTACCATCACAAGTAAAAACACAGTTATCTGAAAAATCATACAACTCCATCAGAAATAGTCTCCTTGCCATCCAACAATAATACTGTGGATTATAAGTTTCACATAATCTATACTATCTAGAAAAACAAGATGTTTGTGAAACACTTCTCTCTCTCTCTCCCCCCTCCCTTTTTTTTTTTTCTAAGTCTAAGGTGCATAACTCTGTCAAAAATTGCTTGATCTTACACAAAACAAAAATTGACCTAGTTATTCTTAAAATATATGAATACATTACATTTCAACTTCTGCAAATAAAATGGATGGGAACTGTTTGTGGACTGACAAACCGACTAACAGATAGCAGCAAAGCAATATGCCCTCCCTTTTTCCAAGAGGGACAAAATGATTTAGTTTAAGACATCTCAATACATAAAGTCAAATGTTTTCATCATAGCAATATACTTTTTAGCCAAAGGAAAAGGTGACAGAGAAAAAAAAAACTCTTTTCCTGGATTAATACTCTCAGTTGACCACAATATAAACCAGGAAATTAATTGTAGTAGATCTATAAAAAAACAAAACATTCACATGTAAAGGCAATTTTCTGAGTAAAGTATCAGTGCTATACCAGTCCCAGTCCTCTTACATAAATATTACACATTAGAGAAGATGGACTGACAGTTTCAACATTTTAATTTATTCCTAGAACCAAATGACCATCTTCCCTTTTTGACATTTCTGTAAGATTTCAAGAGTGAAATATGCAAAAATAAATATTGAAGGAATGGGTGTTTTGACTGACCTAGAGTTTCCTGGTTTAATGAACAGGCAACAAGACTTGTACCAAATGCACTTGTTTTAGCCATGAAATACTTTAAGAAGCTTAACTTTAAAACAATCCCTGTTTAATTAATCTTAGAAACTATATTTCCATCCTTAAATATTGCACTCATTTACCTATAAGATCTGTAAATTATTAAGAGGAGATGATTAAATATTTTCAAAATCAAATTATTGAAGATTTCTGATGTACAATATACTGTAAATCACCCCCCCCTCCCCAAATGTAATATGCTCTTCTTCTCGACTCAAATAAATACATTATTTAGAATTGAATGTGATTCTTTGAGCACTGAGCTGTCTTCCTTCCCAGACTCATTTTGTTCTATAGAAATACTTACTGAAGCTCTGTTGAAAATTTATATCCAAGGTGAAGCTACTCTTCTCATCTTCTACCCATACATATATGATCTTCAACACATTGGATTTGAAATGAAAGACATGAGGGGTTTGGTAATTTTGAGATTTGCAAATCTTGCTGCTGACTACACCATGGTGCCCTTCGGTTTCATCACTAATGGTCAGCTCTGGGGGTAAACAGGGGGGCAGTTCCTCTGGCCCAGATCCTACGTGACTGGCCCGAGGGTCTGGCACTGTACCAAGGGAGGACTGGAATCCCACTAGATCAGTGAAGTTGAGGGCTATAATGTTGCTGTCAGGAGGGGCCTTGATCAGGTATTCACATTTGTCATAACCTTTCTTCTGGTAGTCTAGAGATACCACGTCAATCCTTTCCTTCTTGGAGTAAGTAAAGCTGCAGACTGCTGAAAGAAAGTAAAATACATGTAGTGGACTGAGTTTGCATCTTCAAACAGTTTACTTGATAAACAAAACATCTAACACAATAATTACAATAATTATCAAGTGAGCAAACTTTAACACTAAATGCTTCCATGTTGTAGTACTTCCTGACAATCTGTATTTCATAAACAATTACAATTGGCATAACATTATTTTAGACATGAAAGCAGCTATGAGTAGCAATTTGAATACATTAGTAAAGTCCAAATATGGAGAAGGAGAGGTCAATTAAACTATACAACTTATATAAGTAGACCACAACCTTCTGAAAAACCTCGGTCACTGAAACCTTCAAACTTAAAGCTTAAAGAGTTAGTGTTCAATAAACATATTTTTCTGTCATGGAATTGACAGCACATTAACAACTTGAGCTGGCACAAGTAGTAGACATATATGGAGGTAAAACAGCTTTATCTGACATTTGAAGCTAATTCTCTATCAGATATACATATATAGCAAAGATCTCACTCCATCTAAAACATATTGACGTTTGTCATTATTCAGAGTTTGAAAATTATGGACAAGATTAAAGTTGTAAGATTACATAGCAAAATTAATAAACTCCTGACTATCAGGCATAAAATAACCTGAAACAAAAAAGATAGGTCATCAAAGATTAGAAAGTGTAACCCAAAGAATCTTAATTAAAAACTGTTCATTCATCTAAAAATGTAGGTCAGATGCAATCATCCAAAGCAGATCTGTCAGTGTATATATCCATGCAACTTGCAAGTTTGGACTAGGCAATGCTTACAGTCTTTTTAACCAACTTCCAAAACTTTTAAATGTCAAAGAAAATATTAAATTAAGGTCAGATGCAGCATCCAAAGCATTGTCTAGTAGTGTGCATCCCTGTCATCATCCAGGCACATTATCGGTCAGCATCAGGAGTGGATCCAGGAATTGAAGTTAGAGGGGGCGCCAAAATTAGACAAGGGGTCTGGGGGCTGCCTTGAGGCCCCCAGTGTGTGGTGGGGCCCAGGGGGCGAAGCCCCCAGAAGCTCCTGGGTTCTAGAGATTTTGTAGGGAAAAAATGAGGTCTACCAAGTAGACATACATTTTCTAGACAAAACTGTGATTTACATCAACTTTGACAATTTTAGGGGCCCCCCCTCCTTAAATCCGCCACTGAGCATAGAGTGATTTCTAAACTGTTTAATCATCCATGAAATGCAAGTAAAAGGCAACAGCCTATGCAAGTATGACCAGTATAAGCTTATAGTTACTTTGAGAATGAACCTTCTTTGCTATATCCTGCCTGTCAGACTAGTAAAAACATTTTTTCGGACTTTAAAAAAAGCATCTACCATAAAAAAAACCCGAATTTTTACATAGATCTGAGACTATATTTCAGTGTTTTGTATGGTGCATGTGATACATGTAATGGGCAAAAAAAATTGATTAAATAAAAAAAAATCTTCTTAAGTATTTCAAAGCAATTCTATAATTTTATTTTGGCCTGGATAACAAGTCAAAGCACTTCCTACAAAAACTCCTGAGTTTGATAGACCATGATTTGAAAAGAAAGAAATGCATCAGAAACACTTGAATACTAAAGATGATTTAGCCATTCCAGTCCATCCCTTTTTTTGTATATCAGAATATTTTGGGTTGGATAATTTTGCTATAAATGTAGACTACAAAGATCCATAAATACTTGCTTGAAACATTAAGCAATTTGACTTCAATAACAGCAGACACCTATATCAAAACGAGGTCATACACAGTGATGTCAGTTTGGCAAAACTGAATTGTGTCTTCATTTTGTTGCCAACTAATAACACCAAACATTATCATCCAAAAAAAAAAAAAAAAGAACTATGAAAATTTACCAAACTCACTAGGTTGTGTCTTAGATCTCTGCATTTTTTTGTGTTGAATTCTCAAGAAACTGAGACATATTTCATTAAAAAACCAAATTTCATTTTAGACCTGGTTGTATACTTCAAGCAGACAAAGAATTATGAATGACATTGCATATCTTCCAGACAATTAAAATTCTTTGCTCTCATTTTTTTTTTCCATGACAGAAGCAAAAATAAGTTACATCAAAGCTCAACTGGGCATGAACAAACATTGAAAAAAAAAGAATATTATCAAAATCTATGAAAGCATTAACATGAATCAATACATAGCTAGATCAAGGCTGATTGGAAGACCCATGACTCAGCAACGCGGTTAACATGCGACATATCGCTTTGCATATATTGCATTGATTGCATGCCCAGTAATTTATAGTGAATAATTCAACCATTGTCTGAAAACAGAAACATTTTTTGTTGCCTATTACCCCCTCCCCCTCTTCCAAGGATTTTTTTTTAAATCTCTCTCCAAATAAGACATTATTTCAATTAAAGTTGGTGATTTGGATGCAACTTAATGTTTGTCTGACAAAGATAAGGTCATCTGCATAGACTGGCAGACTAGTTAGCCATTAGAGCAACCAATGCAACCTCAGAAAAACAAGAGCTTTCCCAAATGTTAATAGTTCGAAGAAAAACATTTTAATTCTTTGAAGGTCATAGATATTTGAGATGGTGAGAGATTTAAGAGGTCAAAACAGTTGCATAAAGTCTTTGACTGAGAAACGCAGACAAACTTTCCTTTAGCTAGCATGCTATTGATATCTTCTGAGATGGGAGTGAAAATTTCTCTCCGTACCAAATAGCTAGCATTTTGGAAGCAATATACTTCAACATTCCATTCCAATCATCAATTCTAAGTTATTAAAAACAACAAACAGATGATGAATCATATTTCATGATGAGCCCCGAAAAGAAAATAGTGAACAGAAATGCTTGATTTAATTACACAACGCAACTTTGTGCTTAAATTAAATAAAGTAGCAGAAAAAGAAGAGAGTTTCGTGTCTGTTCTTCTGACAATTTGAGAGACCAATGTAGATTTTTTTGACAAATACCAAAGCCAAGAAACAGACTTTGACTGTTGATAATGAAGACATTAGAACATCATTACACTCCCGTCCATTTTCTGATAAAAATCGTGCGTCTCCTGTTAAATTACAAAATGTAGAATTGATTATGTCTGCTTTTAAATATAGCTGGTTTTCCGCATGATGATTATCAAGTTTTCTGAATGCAGTCTGTCTGCCTGTAATTGTTTTTAGAGAATGAATCCTTCATATTGGAGTTAATTTCCCTTCACTGCCTCATTTCTGTGGTACAGTGGTAGATTCTATGACAAAATCAGATACTTAATTAAGATATCAAATTCATTTTTACAGCAATGATTTAATTCAGAAAAACTTATTAAACCAAATCTCTCCCCCTCAAAAATCAATGTGCAGTTTTTGAATCATGAATCTTTTGAAAATTACAATTGAATTTGTCATTTTAATCCACACCCAAACTTTAGTGAAAAACAAAATAATTTTTCTATGAAATTACATCTAAATATAGTTCCGAGGGCCTTGACAGTCACTTGAGTGCCATGACTTTCTCTTGCTTAATGCTATGACCAAAAAGCTATGACCCCACCAGAAACATTATCATATTCATGCAGTTCGTCTTCTAGATTTTCATGAATAAACATACTGTACACAGTGTATCAAGTTTTTAATATATGACTAATTAATTGTCAAACTCTATGTAGCTGGGACCTGATTCTTCTATTTGGAGTAAATATAAATTTTATAGAGTTCTTGCTGTTTGTTTGATAAAACAATGCAAATAATTGAATTGCCTGCTATGTTTCCATTCGTATAAAGATGAAGATCATTTCAAAGATGTAATGAACTTTCAAAATATGTTCACTGTGTGGGATGTAGGTGCTGGCACAACAAAGATCCCTCATTGCTCAATGGCCCTGAGTGCCGAGCATAGGTGAAAATTTGCAGCTCTCCACCAGCAAGTGGTGGCATCTTCATATGTATGAAAAATTCTGGAGAGGGACAAACAACAAACAAACATGTATTGCTTATTGTCATTATACCAACAGTTTTCCTGCTTGATGTCCATGAGTAACAAAGAAATGAAGTTTGCAGAAATGTTGATTGTTTTAGCCCCACCAGTTATATTTCCCTTTATGCATATATGATGCTATATCAAAATTGGTTGAAATTGGTTCTGTCCTACAAACCAATCATAGGAAAATCATAAAACATTGCCAATATGTCTATTAGAATCAGAAATATTTGTTATAGAAGTACTTTCCAACAAAATCAGGAGAGAGAGAAATGTGTTTTTTTTGTCACTATATATTACATACAGAATCTTTTTTCCATTAGAAGACTTGTTTGTGTAGCATTCACAATTTAGGCCCTGCAATAGTACATATCTAAAACTATCCTGAATGCTGCCTATATGGCAATTCTTTTGAACACAACACAGCTCTCCTGTATTTAAGCTTAAAACTGTATAGATGTTGAGGCAAAATGCAAATGCCACAAGCTAATTCAGAGAATTCGTGTCCCCCGCTTAGGGAAAAAGTCGACTCCCCCTGACTGAATTTGTAGAATTATTAAATGTATACATGTATACTGAAGGAAATAAAATACATGTATGTCAATATGCATATAAAGATTTGATTGCTTATTCTTTATTATGTGTATAGAAGATTTTTTCATATGGAATATTTATCACACTGTAATGATGATTTTATAACCTCATAAATTTTTCATTTCACATGCTGAATACTATCATTTAGTAAAATAAAAAAGTATTTAAAAAAAAAAGAAAAAGAAAAAAAGAACGGTCCGACCGATATTCGATCCCGGGACCACTCACATTCGAAGCGAGAGACATAACCACTAGACCACGGAGTCGCTTTACACGTAGGGAAGTATATGCAGAACTGAAGTCACATACATGTGTATATTCATGTTTTCATGTTCGGTATTCTCAAAATTTTACACAATCCATGGTGTTTGATTTATTTAGCCTTTATTAAACAGTTCTAATAGATGTAATAAGAACATAAAGTCCGCCGAGAACCTGTTTTATAC